CAATATCAAACATTACATCCATACCTGTCGAACTGCCACCGCCATCCGGACGCATTGGACCTCCAGTTCCATCGAAAGCAGGTTCATGCACTCTTTCAAAGTCGACCGAACCTTCAATCGAGGCAATCGAAATTCAAGGCCCACTCGAACCCGCCACTGCATCAAGTCCAATCGAGCCCACGATCTCAGACCCAGAAGCTGCAAACCCCTCAGGTATTGGCTCAGCAACACCCGCCGTTCTCGCAGCCCCCTCGACAGCATATGCAAGCCACGGGATGCCAGCAGATCTTTCCGCTCCAATGTCCTTCACCTATACAGAGCAAGCAAACAGATTTACAGCTCTTGGCAGCTCTTTCACAGCAAAACGGGCAGCGCCAGGTCCCTCAAGGCGTGATTAATATGCAAAGCCTGCAACGTTTGCAACGCATTCAGATGCAGCAAAGATATGCCCAGATGAGACGGATTTTATCCCAAAGCATTGACAACCATCTAAAGGTTGTGCAACAATCTGTGCAGTTGACAATACAGATGGTACAACTCGTCAATAGCTGGCAGCCACATGAGGGGTTTGTCCTTCAAAACCTGCAAGGCATTCAGTTCCAGGCCCAGCAATCCATGCAAACCGGCCTTCAGTCCCAGCAAAACTCACAACAACAAACTCCCTGTCCTCAAAACATAGTTGGCAACTATTCTTCCCGGCCAAACTCGCAGCAACAGGCCCCAGGTGCTTATCAAGCTCAAATCATACCTACCAACCAAGGCGGACAAAACTCGCAGCAACAGGCTCCTGGTATCCCTCAAAGCATGCTTGGCGACCAATGCGGACAAAACTCTCAGCCCCAGATACTACCCTCTATTCGAGCTCCAAGCACTTGTCCACACGAAAAGCCTCCTAGGGAGTGCAGAGCCACCCTCATCAATTATATTGGCTGTCCCTGCCAGATTTGGGTAGTTGAGTCATGTCCATAGGAGGGCAGCAGGGTCGTAATCACGAACGTGGGATTCGAAAAATGTGAAAAGTATAGTAAAGGGGAGCAGATCAGGCCAGGGAATTGCGGTGGAACTGGAAATCATTGGGCTTGTCCGGCTATGCCAAAGTTCTGGCACGATTATCAGGTTCAAAATGAGGATGGGAGCGTTGTATGGGAGTTCACCCCGGAACCCTATAAGGCGACAGCAAAGTACATATCACACGATGAGACACACTTGGAACAATATTACAAGTGAGACTATTAAGGGGGAGACTAGTCGGCAGCAAATCTGCGAGTCTTGGCCATTAGTTTGAATTCGGAAATACCCAGTTTGTGAATAACATGCAGTTCATCCCAGTGATCCCAGATGTGACTGTGAGAGCTGCTTCCTACATTACCAACTATGATTGAACAACATGAATATATCAATAAAAACCACCAGAGTTAATACTAGAACAAGCCGCCGTACAAAGTAATCCAGAAAACAGGAATAGGAAGTTTCTAACCAATTACATGATGACTTATTCACATTAAAGCCTCCTATGAAGATTCAATTTCTGAGATATAGCTGATTCACAAAAAGAGAATACCTTCCTCCCTTCTTCAACAAAGCATAAACAGCCAGCAAGACACCAACTCCAGACAACTCGCAAACAACCAATCCAATCCAAACCTAGGCCCACAACTTCCAAAGCCATTCTCATAAAGGGCAGAGAAACAAGCCTCACCAACCAATACCTACACGGCTTCACATACACTCACTCACTCCGCCAACATGTGCACACTCATCTTCAGCAAATACAAGCATTGCGCGTGCATCGCCTCGGAAGAGTTCAAGCGCTGCGACAAGGTGAAAGCAGGGGAGGACGCGAAGACGTGTCCGGATTATGTGAAGAAGGAGGGGAAGGCGACGAAGGGGCAGTGTCATACGACGACGGGGTTCTGTTATAGTGCGTAAGGGCTGTGGTGGGGGTGTGCTGGATGGATTGGGTGGTTTATGAGCGGAGGGGGAGAGGGGGGGACAGGTGGTTGCACGGTATGGGAGGGGTGGTTTGCATCTTGAGACTCGGTCATTATTGGTTTTTTAGAATCGTGGAGGGATGAATGGGAAGGGGTATGGATTATCAAGGCGGCAAATATATCTATAAATCAGCTTTGGAGTGGTACTGTGTCGGTGAATGTGTCCTGTCAGCTGCATCGAGAAGCTTGGGAAGGAACGCACTATATCCTAAGCGCGTGCAAGATATTTTGTCGTTTTAGGAAGGCATGATTGAAGCACTTGAGATCTACAATTCAGATATGTTTTGCCATTCCAGGGTTTACTTGTCTAAGACTTTACTGTGATTCGAGTCGAAGGAGTAAAAACTACCTACCCACTCGTGACTAGATAGTTATCTCGTGTCCCTTTTTGCGCTTCTCGAGCTTCACAATATCCTAGAGATTCTATAAGCCCTGTGAGCCAGAGTGGTAAGTATTTCGCAATGTATGATTCAAGGGAAGTCGATGGATAACACCTCTTCATTTACCCCTTTCTTGGGCCGAATGGAAGAAATTAACCGAGGACCGAGACTGGGACTTCGCTCTACCACTACCAATAGAAGGATCAGAACTCAGATGAAGATCAGAAAGAGGCCAGAGATAAACTTGTGAAATAAAGTAAAATTAATTCAAGTGAATGATAATGCAATCAGAAGAGGAGGCGGGGATGGTGACTCGGAGAGAGTGCCCATTGTTCGACTTTCGAGAGTCAACTAGAGCCCGTGAATCTTCATATACCCAAAGCCCGTGAATAAACAGCAGTTTTCTCTGGTATACATACAGCAGTATTTCTTGTGTAATCTCTACACATCCAAGTCTCCAATTCGTTCGATCATCTACAAGCGAACCAAACCAAGCCCCACGAACCTGACGAACGCAAACTTGTCAACGATGTGCAAAGAATACTACACTACGGTTCGAGTCCGCAACGGTACCGAAGAAACTTTCACTACAGAAGTCCTCGTCGAATATTGCATGGACTTCCTCTCGGAATTCGAATACGCTGATGCTCGTGATGAAATGGACACAGATGATTACATATTCTGTCCGGATTTGCGGACAACGCATTTTGGAGTTGTCGAGACGAGCTGTATGGGGTAGATTTGGGGAGGGTGTGAGAAGTAAGGAAGCGGGCGTGGAGGAGAGGTAGACTTGACTCATGTGGGTTCTGGCGAGAACATTCAAATCGTTCGGAATATCCTAGATTTTGGGATTCAATACACTATTTACTCATGACCGAATTGCTGGATCATTGTCATGATATCTCTTTGAGAAGTTCCTGTGCTGTCTCGGAATAACTCTTCGTTCATGTTTGCTCATAATTCTAGTGGACACCCATACATTATTGTTGAATGGTGACACACCTTTACATGGCATTGAAGAATGAATATCTCCACAACAAAATAATGACTGGAGGTTCACAGTTCTCCCATTATAATAGTATCTCTTCCCTTATAGCCTGCTCGCTGCCATTCGTCGTACATTGAAGCAGAGCTACAAAATTTTAAACCTCCAAAACACATATTTCGTACTAACTAACGCAAGAAACCAGAATGTGCACGACAAGGCGCACGCGTATTCACGTGTATTCACCAACTGGTATTTACACCGGAACCTCTGTACACCTAAAGGTTGAATACTGCTACGCGTTCCTCTACGCGCAATACACGGCTACTGTAACGAGCCAACCTTTACCACGGCATATTGAGTGCCCATTCCATTCGTATATTGATGAAAGCCCAGCGTAGTTGCGAGATGTATCAGCTCACAGACCTTAATAGCTACATAGATTAGGTACTTAGACTAATCGATTGCGTTCCTGTTTGCATTTCATAATATCACAGTGTCTGCCATAAGTGATAATGTTCAAGAGACCTTATGCAGTGAGCGCTTGATGGCTTAGTACATCAGATGTCCTGGGTTCCGGCTCATCCGTCGGAAAAGCCCCTGTGGACGACTCAAGCTGTCTTGATATCGGACGACAATGCTACACTTGACAGGTATGGGAATGACCTACAGCGCTATCTCTTAAAAGTTTTGAAAGTCAAACAGCCCAGGAACTTGAGCAAGCAGATGTGTCTGCTCTGTTGGGCGACAGGGGCTCTGCAGTAGTGTACTGCCCAGGCCCCGTTCGGTCTTCTAAAGATATTGCAAGCTCAACTCAGAGGTTCATCTGGGAAGTGGCAACGGCTGTCAAATTCATTGTCCGAAATACCCTCCTTTGGTGACATTTGCGTATATAGACCTTGTTCAAATTAACCTCAACACACTCAAAGAGTTTCCACACAGAAATTGTATTGGCTATAAACTCTTTCCCCAAAGATATTGTATTGAAGCGAAAGGAGATGAAATGGAACCTGGTCACCCCCTTATGATATGGATGAATACCCTGCCAAGTTTATCCATGTTTCATCTCAAGCTCTCTGAACAGGCCAAGTACGAAATGACTTCATTTCTTTCATATCAAGGGATGCGGTTTAAATAGAGATGCATGGCGAGTATGGTGGATCAATACTAATAAAACGGTAGTCGATGGATTCAAAATGACGAGAAACGACAACGACTATGACATTTATAACGCTAAGCCTAATATGATATTAGGTGATCATGCACTTGATATTGCTTCTCCATGAACAACTCGGGGGTCAGAGCACTTCTCCAAAATGCTCTAAAATTGCGACCTTATACCGTTAGTTGCACGCATGTATGAATGAGACCTGTAGATTTTCAAGTTCCTCATCTATTCAGTCTTGCCGCAGAAAGGACCTAATATTACAAACGCCCAAAGCAGATTCGCCCTTTTCTACAACAACGGAGGACGTCTATGCTTGAGAAGAGGAGAGAAAACCAGCCCGAACAATGCATGCAAAACCAAACGAATGAAGAAATGCTCTTCCTCCCTATCCATCCCATGTTTATAAAGGCCGTACAAGCGAAAAGCTCTCTGGCCTTGAAAACATCAACCTCCGGCTTCTATACCTTTGTCTCCATCTATTTCGCAATTTCAACACCACCGGTGGCACCCAATGCCTTCTTGATTTCTCCGTAGATGGCGAACTATAAATATAAGTTAGCAAATAGGTTCTAGAGATACAAAAGAGGGGTGTATTTGCCTGTCCAGCGGTAAGTGTTCCTTGAGGAAAGTTAGCCAGATTTCTTATGGGTAGATTGCTTGAGGGCGTTACTTACCAACCATGAAAAGACGAGCACCAATACCAGTGTATGAACCCCTAATGCCAAGCTCCTTGGCAATCTTGATCAGACGGCTGGTGGTACCCTCTCCTGGAAGACCCTTAGACTTGTTGATTTTGCTCAACATGGTATCGGCGGGTTGTGAAACAGCAGCGGCAGCGAAACCAGCCATAAGACCAGAACCAAGGTTGATGGTAGTCTGCAGTCCATCGGATGCCGTGCTCTTGTCAACTTTCTTGTAGATGGCCTCAGCAACCTTCTCGAAAACGACGAACTTGGTCATGGTGTATGGAACCCTAAAATCCTTAATCAGCATCCCAAATTGGTAGATTCCGAATAGCCGCTACTTACTGCTTGAACAAGATAGGACCAAAACCAGCGTAGAAAGCACCAACACCTTCGTTCTTCAGCATCTTACTGAATCCGCCGACAAGACCGGAGGCATATGTTGGCTCGGAGACGAGACGGATACGGGTGGCCTCAAGAGGGCAGAGGGCAATATCGGCGAAGAATTCTGCGGCACCAGCAGAGGCCAAGTAGACAGCCGTTCGGTTGTTGGAGGCAGTCTCATATCCGAGGAGGTTGATGGATTGTTGCTTGAAGAGTTCATATCCTCCAAACTTGAATGCGCCCTGGAGGAAGTATCCGGCAAATGTTGGCCCGAAACCAGTCAACAGAGCACCGGCACCCTCCTTAGCAATGACTTGTCGGAAACCTCCAATGAGACCCTTGTTGTATGTGACGGGGTCGAGTTGGATTCTTGTCTTGACGCTGTGCGGATAAAATGTCAGTGTTCTATTGCTCTATTTTGCTTGCATCCGGACTTTGGGGACAGGTATCTCCACGGGCGCAAATTTCATCGCGGATCTTGATAAGCATGAATACTTACACATCTACGGGTGTGAGACCTCCGTGGGTAATTGCACAGCAGACTGCACCAGCCAAGGCGAATCTTGAGTAGAGGGCAACACCGCTGAGCTTCTCGGGGGTGTTGGCAACGACACTTTGGACGACAGCATCGACCTTTGTCGAGCCGGTGGTGTTAGATGAGGCCATCGTGGATAGGTATTCGGAGGACGAAAGGATGGGCTATTAGGAGGAGAATGGAGTGAGTGGAGATGGGATGGGATAAAATGCAAAAGGTCCTTGGACGTTGCTGGTGTTCAATTGATGAAAATGACGGAAGCTCAGCGACAAATACTACTTGAGTTCAGATCCCAAATTTTAGACGCTAGGATGGGATGGGTGGGCTCGGGAAGACTCGGACTTGTCTAGTACCGCGCTCACCCACTTTTGCTGCCGAAGCTGCCAATCATGGCATGTATACTATGGCAAACCTCCATCCTGATATTTTGCGGAAACTCGGCAGTCTCTTGCAAATCTCTCGAGCTATGAGGCTATTCATATGTCTCTAGGTCTACCTACTATACATTATTCTCTTTTCTTTATCAAAGCTCGAAAAAAAAAGGTTGACGTCGTGGCTGGGCTGATATCTGCATAACATACTATATGTCAGCAGCAGACTAGCGGATCCTGCATTAACTCTCTCACTCAGCCTCACTTCCATTATTTTCCTTCCTAAAACTATTCTCTGTATATACTTTTCTTGGTTCCTATATCGCTTGGTACTCTGTTGCTCTAGTCGAAGTATTCGACGAAGCCTTGGATGCTGAGCTGATACCCAACAATCGGGGTACTTCTCAATCAAAGTGAAGCCTAGATTTGGAGTCCTGCGCTTGACTTCTCGCTATTTGCCTTGACATATGCCACAAGAATGGACTATCAGTCTTTGTTTACGCGGAATACATATAATGGAAAAGGTTCGCATCTACAGCGGGGCACTTCTAACCGTCTAGGCCAGCCAACTAGGCACAAACCTACTTTTTACTCATCTGAAGAGAAGGTCACTATAAGCCATCCTGTTCGAGAAATATTGTTTAGGCACTTCGAAGTGAGTAGTTGTGTTGTGTTGAGTATATACCTGTACCTAACTCATAGTGTAGGGCTGCTCTTCCGTCTTTGTCGATGATGACTTCTTCAGAGCCGAGGATATCGATGAAGGCAAACTCAGAGTTCACGATGAAGGCGAACATGCAAGATTAAGACTTCTGCAAGCCCCCTAAAAGAAGTCGAAAGGGATATCTACTAACATTAGCCCCAGAATAGCACCGCCACGACTCGAAAGAAAAGATGAGCACGGGAGGCCAACACAATATAATCCCGAAGCACCGAATCCATTCGACGATCCAACCTTCCATCGTTTTGTCGACACGTTTCAATTTCACAAAGCATGCTTATCCACTCGAGAACTCGGGCAGGTGTCGAGCATATCAAGCCCAAGTGGTATCACGTGTGAGCTTACCCCTCCCACATAACCCAAGTTGCTAATCGGACAGCTTTTTATATAGAAAACCTTTCGTACCGAGAAGGATGGTACAAAGTCTCCATAGCTTATGACCCCGCTCTCATGAGCACATCTGTCTATCTTTATAATTTCGAAATGCATGAATCTCGCACCATATGCGACAGGCTACTTTCCGAGCCTCTCCATCCACTTACACTACACCCCATGCTTGTTCCTATGCTCGTATTCGAACTTATTTTTAAAATATGCATCAAGGAGCTAGAACGTCTGTTTTTCAGCTCCATCCAGATACAGCACACTCTAGGACTCAGCAACTATAAGCTGTTTGAACATTTCAAAGACATCCAACTAGACAATGATACTGCCGCCGAACGCTCCTTTGGTGACGGCCAATCTCTCTGTGCTCTGGAAGAGCACTTTGACTTTTCGATCATGATGGGCAAGAGGCTGCTCTCATATTTTGAAAATCTAAACAAAATCACAAATGCCGGACAACACAAACCGGCCTTCGAAAATGCCGGCAGTATTATCTACAATCGCCTCGAATACCTCGTCAGCGCCCTCGAATTACAACTCCCGCGCCTTCGTAGAACGCAAGCACACACGCAACTCAACCGCACTGGCGTAAGTTCGTTCCTTCCTTCACATAAAATCTCCCACTGATAGGCTTATGCCTCTGAAGCTCGAAAGCCGGACCGCCACCTTGGGCAACAATATAAATCATCAAATCGCTCTTGAATCCAAAGCCGACTCGAGCGCCATGAAAGCCATTGCCGTGCTCACCATGATTTTCCTCCCCGGTACATTCGTCGCATCTTTCTTCGCCATGCCGCTCTTCGACTGGGACGCAGAAACACAATCAGGCGTCGTGAAAAATAGGTTTTGGATTTACTGGGTTGTTACGGTACCTGGGACGGTGGCGGTGTTGGTTGTATGGAGGCTGTGGTGGGTGTTTACTTATTGGAATCAGCATAGGGATGTGGAGGGGGAGACGGTAGCGGGTGCTGTTAGGGCTTGGCTGGGGAGTTGGGGGGAGAAGAGGAAGGGCGTAGAGAATGAGAAGGAGAGAAGAGCTGGTGGATAGCGTGGGTGGGCTCAGACGGATGGACTCAGAGATAGGAGGCGTGGCTAGTGCTGCAGAACAGCGTGTCTCTTCAATCCATCATTCCTATGGCCCTCCGAGTTAGCTACTCTGGCCTGAACTCGTTTATATCTTGCTCAACGCGTTTTCCTATTCTCTAGCTTGACGAGTCTCTTTGTCATCATGCTGTTCTATATCTCTGGATCTAGCCATTCGTTGCACAATCATACGAGGAGGACAATGCCCTGAACAAAAAGCTTTCTTGTACTTACTGGCACTATTCGTGCTTTTGTCGTACTGCACTTTTGGTTCATGTCGAGAATGTATGACCAAGGTCAGGCGAGTCCAAATCAGACTTTCAGCAAGGATTTAGATGTGGTAAGACTCGTTCCGAGGTCGTAAAACGTGCTCCAGTTGAATTCGCAAAAAAGCGTCAAGTCGCGACTTGAACTCAGACTTGCATAGCCTTATGTGTAACAGTCTCCAGCATCAGCAAGCGACTTCAGCGACCATATTTGCAAGACGATGCAGTCTGAAGAGTCTTGATGATTGCAAATCGAAAGTGAAAAGGGTACTACAAGCGGCCGGGACAGTAGTAAGTACGGCGTATAGGTCACTTGGGTGGGTCCTTGTCGATGGCTTCAAACTGCTTCCGATTTGCTGGACTATACAAGTTTCACGTCAAAGAGACACAGACCAGGCCAGTGGCAGCCGGATCTACAGCGCTTATATCCTCCGTCCTTGAGAGCTGACAACTGCACCTCAAACTCATCTATATGTAGCAAGCACGTTGGCATGTTTTGTGCTTTTACACTCTTTACTTTCCCAATACGCTTATCCCACTCTGTGCGGAAAGGACAACAATGACATACTTTATGAAACGGTATTTTGGCAATAACCTTACTTTGGCAAGGGACGCTGCTGCGCACGAATCTTTTGCTCCACAAATTGAAGAACCCATCAACAATTCAGCTTTCCACCACGACACTGCATACCAGAACCCCCACCAGTCGATCCCAGCGATCGAAAATCCCGAGATATCATCACTCGACAGCAACAACCCCTCAGATATAGCAGCTTCCAAGGACGGGAATTATGGCCCCCAATATACTCGAGTCGGAGCCCACGATAGCGGATACGATGGTCCCCGGCCAAACGAGAGGGCTAATCGGTTCGCTCGAAGAATGAGGGAGTGGTGGGTAAGAGAAATATTGAGTCTTCTGTGTAGTCTTGGCTCGCTCATAGCGATTGTTGTTGTACTGGCGAAGCATGACAAAATCGCGTCGCACAGCTTGGCTGCAGGAGTCTCCCTCAACACGTACCTCGCCGTCTTCGCAACACTTGCCAAAGCTGGGTTGATGTACCCTGTGATGAGTTGCATCGGTCAACTCAAATGGATCTGGTTTTCAAAGAATGATGCACCGCTGGCAGACTTTGCCAGATTCGATGATGCGACTCGTGGACCTTGGGATTCTCTAATGTTATTAGGAAGTCTTAACTTTTGGTATGTTCTTGCAATGACTACGCTATTGACGTGAGGAATTACTGACATGTGGTGCAGGCACTCCGCCAGTATTGGTGCTCTAATTACTATTTTATCCATTGGGATTTCTCCGATCACGCAACAGGCCATTTCCTATTCTAATGAACTTGTTCCAAGCACTTCGGGGTCGTCTGCTCTGGCGCCCAGTGCCAACTTGTATGTACTCGGAGAATAATTCCCCACTGCTCCAGCTTGTTCCCGGAACCTGTTGAATGCCCCTTACCTTTGAGATAGCTCTTTTGTTGTCTGCGCTCAAAGATGCATCATTACTCTAAATCCTCTGCTCTTCCATCAAAGCACTTCTAAAAATGGTCATTCGCTAATCACCAATTGTTTGCAGGTGGGACGGCATAGGTAGCCAGACATCTCACACTGATATTTCCTCGGCTCCGTTGTCACTCCCCATACAAGCAGCTATAAACAGTGCTATATACAACGCAGCCAACGTCTCCATTCCATCCATCGCCCCAACTTGTACTACCGGAAATTGCACATGGCCCGCTTACAATTCTCTCGCGATATGTACCAAAGTATCAAATGTCACAGATATGCTAACGGGTATTCATCTCTTTCCTTCATCTCCCGTCTCTGATTTCGCTAATTGGTTGCAGTTCCGCCTCTTGGAAAAGAAGGCTCTACTGTAAGTCACAAACTGACTCTTCGATAATATAGTCCCCTCATTCCTCGTCTTCAAAGTTATTCCATTGCTCTAATGCTAAACCCTACTTCTAGTTGACCAATGTGACCCTCCCAAATAACGCTTACCTGAAATATGGAATATACACCAGCAACATGACATCGAAGGCTTCTGTTCCCCTGCTGACCGATAACTCAACGATCGGACTCATAGTCAGCAGTGCCTACATTATTTACGAAGAACATGGCCTTGGTCTTATGGAGATTACTAATACAACACAACCCGTTTTCAGAGCTCTTGAATTCGTCTTCCATTGGTGTGTTAACACGTACGATACCAGCGTTCTAAATGGCAGAGCATCAACCAAAACTATAGTATGTACTCAAGTGCGCTTGTTTTCTAAATGACCAGTTGCTCACTACATGACCTT